TTGCATAATCCATGCCTTTTGCAGTGTTTTTTGGATTCATAACTGGTTGGTAATGTTAGGGGGAGGTTGGGGAGGCAGCCCAGCCACTACTGGTGGCTGGCCGCCGGCCAGCGTGGCCATGGCAGTGAGAAACGAAACTTTCTCTCTCTAGGATGAAAAAAATTGCCAGAGCCTCTCTCTCTAGACTCCAACGTGGGGGGGGGGGGGGTTTAGGATTTTCGGAAAACAGAGGGTTTTTTTTTTAGCAAATCCACTAGGCGAGGTGCCTAGGGCTAGTTTTTATTTACAAAACAAATTAAAGTACAATAAAGTGCTAAATAATGTAATGACTTGACCTTGCATATTACATGTAACCTATTATCAAGATTGAGTAAAGTACTCAAACTTGATATCACAAAATCAGTGCTAATAATACTATTATAAAGACTAGCCCATGATGTAAAATACTCCAAAAACCCAATATTAATTGTAGCAGCCCAATCCGAATAAAATGGCCCAATACTGACCCACTTCCTAACTTGCGTATCCATGTTGCACGCATAGCCACTATCATTTTCAATTTCCGGTTCCTTCTTTTGCACATTTGGCCACCTTAGTTGCAACCTTGATATTGCACACGTGGTGTCATATTTGGACTCATTTATATCCCACATTATTGCATGTATTCCACTTGTTGTTCTCCATATATCCGTTAGCTCTCTTCTGTATCTAACATAGATGAAAATGTTTGTCCATATCCCTAAACTCTCTTTTGCTCTCATCTTGCCATGTCTTCCCATCTTCCTCGATTGAATCATCCCATTGTAGCTCCTTGTTTCCCGTTGATCAGCTGTGTGTTTGTGACTAAGATTACCCGCTACATGTGTTATGATGGTGGATTGTCTATCTCTGAAATTACTGCTACTGATCAGATGACTTTCTTGCTTTACCTCATTTGCGGTGCATGTTGATGTTCCTGTCGAAAGTGCTGCATCAGTGCTCAAAATTCTTTGCCATGACCATTGATACTTGCAAATTGTTATGAGAATGTAGCTCATCATCTCCTCCTCTTGTTGTAAACTTGTTTTAATTTTTGTTTTCTCTTTTTCATGAGGATAGTGAGTCCTCACATATGCCTGGTTCCCTGTATGTTGTGAGTTGTATCCCTTGTTATATTTGCGTGCTTTTCCCACAGGTGCATCATCCAGCTGAATTCCTTTTTGAGAAGGGAATTTTGTTGTCTGCAGGCTGTGTGCCTTTGTGACCTCATAGGTTTTCTTGCTTTCTCTTTTTGCCCAGTTGTTGATCCCCCTGTTGCATTTTGCCTGATACTGACCTTTGTGAATTATTCCTTTGAATCCTGCTTTGTGTATTATTGTCTGACCTCCTGTATGCCTTGATTTGTATTTTGGGTGTACAAATGAAACACCCCATCTTTCCTTTGCTCTTGTACTGTTTTGTATGTAACCCAGTTTGTTTAGTTCTGAGGCCAAGTATGTTGCATTACTGTAAAGCATCCTCATAGAATGTTTGGCCAGCCTAGTCTTCCTCCATGTTTCCATGCTTGTGCTCATCTCTGCTATCCCATCTAGGGAATGAGCACAATGTGCTGATACCACCCTTGGATAGTTTAACAGTAAATGAGGCATGATTACAGTAACTTGCCCTGCAAAAATGAACAAACTGTTAGTTGAAAACATAAGTACTCTGATCTTCTCCCAAAGGACTTGATCACAGTACTTCCTGCTGATCCTTGAGCTCAGAGTTAATCCCAGATTTCTTATCCATTTCCAATCTGTGTCCTTTTGAAGCCCAATTCTCTTAGACATTCTGGACTCCTCTACTGTATCTTTGTTTATTGTGATTCTGTTTAGCAACCTTCTTCTTATTTGATTGCTTCTGTTTGTTGCTGATTTGAATAAAAGCAGCCCATTTCTCTTAGACATTCTGGGCTGTTTATGCAAAATTTCATCTAGCCTATTGAAACTTCTAAAAATTGTGCTATTGTCTATATGAAATTTTAGTCCGTTGGAATGAATGCTGAGCATTGATACCACCAGATGGACCTCCATTACAACATAGAGCAACAGCACATCCCAGGTACCTACAAAACAGAAAAATTGATTAGTGAAAAAATCGTATGCTAAAACCTCTTCCCAATGGATTTGGTCATAGCATGTCCACAGATTTCCTTTATTACTTGTGATTGCCACCATCAAAATTCCCAATCCTGCTCCCCTTACTCCTGTTACTCCACCTTGTTGCCTCCTTACCACTTAATTTCTTGCAATTTTGACTCTCAAATATGGGCATTGTGATTTATCATCATTTACTATCTTTCTTCCTTGAATGTCAAGCTCCCAGAAACCTTGTGCTTCAATAATTCCATAATCTAGAGCATAATTAGCAAGATGATCTGCTAATCTATTGCCTTCTCTTAGTGTATGCATCACTGTCACATTACTCATGTGCATCAACCCCCTGATCTCTTCCACTTCTGCAGCTATAGACCATGGAACAATCCATTCCCCATCTAACACCTTTTTAAGCATCATGGAATCTGTATGTAATTCAATTAGGACATAGTCATTTTCCACACTGTACCTCATTGCTTCCAGTACTGTAGCTGCTTCTGCAACAGTATTTGATCCTTCCTGAATTTCTTTGCCACAAGCATATATCAGATTCCCTTCTTCATTTCTCAGTACATATCCTATAGAACTTCTCCCTGGATTACCTCTAGAGGCCCCATCTGTGTTAACTTTGATCCATCCTTCATTAGGAAATTCCCACAACACCTTTGTATACTGTAAAGGAGGAGTATAGTTCTCCATCAATTGCAGTAAATCTGGCCATTTGTGTGGCACATTCTGCATCCTTGGTTTCCTGAACTTTACAAGGGATTGCATAGTTGATGAAACTTGATATATGACCCTACTTATTGTAACTGTATCTCCATACTTATAACTATTCCTCCTTTTCCATAATTCCCATACTATTACTGATGGTAGTGCTTGAAGAATAGGTTGCAATCTAGGAGTCACTTTAGCAGTCCAGCATCTAATCACAGCCTGATGCAAATTAATTCCCTCCATCAAAATTCCTGCATGCCCAAGAAAATGTTTCCATACTGTTTGAGCTGGTTTTGATGTGAAAAACAAGTGCTGCATTGTCTCCTCATTTGGCTCAGTACAGCACCAACATTTTGATGCCATCAAATATCCCAGCCTTCTAAAGAAGTCATCCAAAGGTAGCTTGTTTTTCCACAGTTTCCACATGAAAAAGGCTATTTTAAAAGGCAATCCTTTCACCTAAATCTTCCTATAAGCATTGCAAGGTTCCTTTCTCCTTCTGAGATAATCCTAAGCAGTTTTGACACTGAATTCACCTCTTGTGTCTAACATCCACACTGGCTTATCAATACCAAAATCCATCACTGGTGGCTTCAAGTTCTGTACTATATGACTAGCAAGATCATCAGGTAGTATGCCTCTGAGTAGTTCTTCATTCCACTGCCCTTCTTGCACCACATCATATATGTTGTGTATTGATTCATCACACACAAATTCAGGAGGTGTGACAAAATACAAAGCTCCCAAGCCTGTCCAATTTTCAAACCAAAACAAAGATGATCCCATCTTAGGTTGCCATAGTATCTGGTGTTCTATTATATCTCTGCATTCTAGCATCTTCCTCCAAACATGAGATCCATCCCTCCAAGGTACCACTATTGGATTCAGCTTTTTACAATATTTTTGACTCATAAATGAACTCCACACTTGGCTTTGTTCTGAAATTCCACCAAAGTTTGCAGAAAAGTGCTGTGGACATATCATGTAAAGATCTGAAGCCAACACCCCCTTCTTCACAAGGTAAGCATAAAGTTCTCCAAGATGCCCAATGCCTTCTTGCTACACCAATTGAATTACACCAGAAAAATTGTGCAAAGATCTTGTGCGGCCTATTAATCACATATGATGGGGGATTTACTGCTGAGAGTAAATGTATTGGCATGCTTTGAAGCACACTAGATATCAGTACTGCCCTCCCCCCAATAGATAAAACTTTCCCTTTCCAGTTCTGCAGTCTATCCATCACTTTTGTAATAAGATCCTGATAATAATCCATCTTCCTTCTCAAATAAAAAATTGGACAACCCAAATATGTAAAAGGAAATTCCTGTTTTGGTATACCAGTAATCCTTTGGACTTTTTCCACCACCTGCTCACTAGCTGAATCATGCATATAAATAGCAGACTTACCTTTGTTTATGAGTTGACCTGAAGCTGCTTCATATGCTGACAGAACTCCCATGATCAGCTGTAGTGATGTCTCATCTGATGAGGAGAAGATGATAGTATCATCAGCATAAGCTAGATGATTTATCTTTGGACTCCATTTAGGCATGCCAAATCCACAAAAGTGCAGGTTTCTATGTAAATCATTTTGTCCTCTCGACAGTGCTTCTGCTGCAAGTATAAACAAGGTTGGTGACGAAGGATCACCTTGTTTAACACCTCTTGTTGACCTAAAGAAGCCATAAGGCTGGCCATTGATCAAAATTGAATACCAGTTGTTGGAGACAATCCCAAATATCAATCCTATAAACCTTTCACTAAATCCCATTTTCCTCAGCACCTTTGTCAGAAACAACCAAGATAGTCGATCATATGCTTTCATCATGTCTAATTTTATAACCACATTAGGTCCTGCTTTGGTTCTTAGTCTGATATCAGTGATTATTTCTTGAGTGAGTAGGATATTCTCCACTATACTCCTACCTTTTACAAAGCCAGATTGTTCATCAGAAATCAAACCTGGCAGCGTTCCTACCAATCTTTCATGAATGACTCTTGAGAAGACTTTGTTGATGAAATTGCTGAGACTAATAGGTCTCATGTCAGAATAAGTTCTAACTTCCTTCTTTTTTGGTAACAAAACCAGATTTGTGTGAGTTATGAACCTAGGCAGCTCATGACCATTAAAGAAAGCTTTCACCATGTCTACTATGTCCTCCCCAATTATGTCCCAACAAGTATGGAAAAACATCCTGTGAAACCATCTGGACCACCTGCACTTTCACCATTCAGCCCCATTACTGCAGTTTTGATCTCTTCTGTTGTAGGTTGTTGAGTTAGTCGAATGTTCTGACTATTTTCCACCATTGCAGGAATGTGTTCCAAAATTCTAAAATTAGTAGGAACTGTATCCTCATGGAACTGTTTTTGATAAAAACTTACTGCTTCTTCAGCCAGCTCATTACTATCTTCTATCCAGTTGCTCTCATTGTTTTGAATTCTTTTAAGCTGTAACCTTTTCCTCCTTCCATTTACTTGAGCATGAAAGAATTTGGTATTTCTGTCTCCATCTTGAAACAAGGTCATACCAGCCTTTTGTTTCCAAAATTCCTCTTCTAATGCCAAATATCTGATTAGTTCTCCTTGAACTTTCTGCAACCTTTCTCTATTTTGAACTGAAGGATTCCTCTCAAATTCAGTCTCATGTACCAATACTACCTCTTCCAAGCTTGCTATTTTCTGAAAAACATCACCATAAGTAGATCTGCTCCATAGTGATAGTGCCTTCTTTACTTTCTTCAACTTATGATTGAACATGATGAATGGATCTCCCACAGTCAAGCTTCCAGTTCTCCTTCACTACATCTTGAAAGGAAGGATGCTTTGTCCAAAAATTCAAAAATCTGAAAGCCTTCTTCACAGGTATTTCATCAGCTGAACCTTTCAACAACATAGGACTATGATCAGATCCTGTTTTAGATAAGTGGCTAACTTCAATAGTAGGCAACATTTGTTGGAACTCTGCATTAGCCAGACATTTGTCCAGTCTTTTAAAGATGCAATCATCCTCAGCTCTCCCATTCCACCAGGTAAAAATACTACCTTTGAACCCCAAATCTGTGAGATTACATGTATTTACACAATGCCTAAAGTCATTTACTTCATTCATTGACACTGGCAAACCACCAAACTTCTCCTCCTCATCCCATATTACATTAAAATCCCCAGCTACAAGCCAAGGCATGGTCATATCTCTTGCAAGATAATACATACTGTCCCATAGTTCAATTCTCTCTATATTGTCACACTTAGCATATACAAATGTGACAATAAAGGAGATCTGAGAGTCCATATTTGTTAGCTTCAAAGTCATCTGCTGCTCCACATTAATCATTACTTCTACTCCATGATCCTCATCTACAAAAACCCAAATCTTGTTTGATACATTTGAGAAGGCCTGCAGCATTCCAATTTTCCTTCTGTACCTTTCAAGTTTTCTGACATCTTGCATTTTTCTCCACTGGCACCATCTGGTAATTCCCCTTCTTCTAAATCCTCTTCTACCTGTTGAGTCCACATTTTCCTTCCTTCTACTTGTACCCTCTCATTGCCATTTGTCACCTTTAGAGCTGCATCTATCTCAGTAGCTTGAGAAGGAATTTCCTGGCAAGATTGATTTGTTTCAACAATCTTTTCATTGAATGTTCTATTAACCCATGCTGCTGTAGTTTCCTTCTGAGCACCCTCCAGGTCTGCATTCTCCTTCACATTATGAACTTTTCCTTTCCTTGCAGTACTCCCCACTCCTGTAGACTTAGGAGTAAATACAGCTGCTGAAGGATTTAATTTCTTGGTCGTATTAGCATTGGTTGGACTTTTTGCAGGATTACTATCTTCCACCCGAATCAGTTGATTATTGTCTTGATCCTCATCATCCTGTCCTTCTAGAGCTGCAAACATATTAGTTGTTTGGATTTGTTGATTATTGGTTGAAACCTCTGGCATTACCTCCTCCCTTGTCCCATTTTTGAGTTGTTGATCATTAGCACTAACTGGAACAATTTCTTTTCCTGCTGCACCATTACTTTGTTAAGTATCATTAGAGACTTGAGATTGCTGCACCTTCTTGGCTTCAACTATAACCATTTCCTTGCCAGCTTGTCCTTGTACATCAGTCTGTTTAATCCCATTCCTTAGACAATTATCCTTCACCTCCTTCCATTGCTCACCAACTGGATTTCCTACTACCTTGCCACTAGAAAGAATCATCAATGGTTGATTATTTTGTTCCTTGGTAGGTACTGTAGCTTGCTTACCTTGATCATATGGGGATAATTCTGGATGCAGTCTCCAACATTCAAAACCATCATGACCTTGTAACTTACATTCCTTACAATATTTAGGCATCATATCATATTTTATGGCCACCCATTCAGTCCTCACCTTTCCATATGCCTCATTTAAAGTATCCATCCTTACTTTCTTAGGATGATCAGCTAAGAGATCAACAAGAACTTTGACCCTAGAACAACTAGGTCTAGTCTTGTTAATTGTAGCCATGTCCAAGTGTAGTGGTTTCCCAACTGCAGAAGCAAGTGAAAACAAACATTCTTTCACAAAGTAAGTAGGAAGCAGACCTGGGAAGGAGATCCAAGCCATTGCCATAGGTGTTTCTTCTCCTGCTTTAAATTTGACATCATAAATCAAAGGTCGAATCTGATATTCATGGCCATTCTTATCCTTAACATATTGAGCTCCCTTCAACGTAAAATCTACAAAATCTTGCCATAATGTCATACGAATTAAAACATGTCGATCTCTCAAATATCCAATGCTACATTCTCCTTTTATTCCACATTGAGATGGGACAATACGACGAATTTCTTGCAAATCTGGCAATCCATATGCAAATTTTCCAACCACTGCATATTGCAATCCCTCTATAATATTCATACGTTCTACTTCTGCCTCAGTAAAACATACAGTAGGTTGTCCTTGGAAAACAGTTGCTCGTCTAAGTGCAATTGGTTCTACAGCTGTAGCATGATCGTGCATGGCATTGCTGGACGTAGGTTTCACTCCTTTTGCATAATCCATGCCTTTTGCAGTGTTGTTTGGATTCGTAACTGGTTGGGTAATGTTAGGGGGAGGTTGGGGAGGCAGCCCAGCCACTGCTGGTGGCTGGCTGCCGGCCGGCGAGGCCATGTCAGCAAAAACGCGAGCTTTCTTTCTCTAGAATAAGAAAATCGGGGTTTAGGGTTTAGGGGTTTTTTTTTTTTTTAGCAAATCCTGTAGCTTTTTCTAGGGGTCTATTCTTGGGTCTTTTTTTTTTTTTTTTGCTAATCTCCCCCTTAGGGTCTCTAGGTTAGCTTCTTTTTGATGGGTTTAGGGTTTTAGGGTTATATTTAGGTTATGGGGTATGGGCCTAGTAATTATGGGCTAGGTCCGAAAATTAAGCTTAATAAAAAATAGGTTGTTTGATCCCAAATTTTATTCTTTCTCTGTGAACAAGACTAAAAATACGGCCTCATTTACCATTTAATCCTACTTAAGTAAAATAACTATTAAGATAAGACTACTAGTTAAAACAAACCTATTTTTTTAGTATTTTCAAATATCATATTAAAATAAAAATAAGGTACTATTTTTTGTATATTTTTTAATTAAATTTATGAAAGATACATAAACTAAAATATTTTTTGTAATTTTTATTTTTTCGTGACGAAATAAAGTAAAAGAGTCAAAATTAACTGAAATAACTATATTAAACCTAAACTAAGCATTTAAATGCTAAAATATGCAAAATCTTGGGGAGGGTCAAAATCACATGTCTACAGTGGGGTTACTTCCTTGGGTGCTGGAGTGCTAATGGGGAACAGGTCGTTCGGATCGTTCAATCACTCTAATTGAGATTTGAGCAGAGTGGATGACTCTCGAGAATGGATCTAATGAATTCAAGATTTATACGTGGCAATTGAGAACGTTGCGGGTTCGTATATGGCTAAAAGCTGAGAGTTACATTGGATGGTGTCGAGACTCGCAGTATTTCTGCATCATTGTGGATTCTACATTTTAGTATCAGGAAGGTAAGATGAACAACTTGAAAAACACAGAAGGTATCTTCAGAGTGGATATCTCGGTTGTGGTACTTTTGTGGTGCTTAAGAGAGCATTCAACGGCTTATGAGCCATAGGGCGGTGTGGTTTTATGTTAGGGTCTCGTGTGGTGAGTCTGGGTTGAGGATTGTGGTATTATGGCAAGGGAAGTATCAATTTGAAGGTAATTCAGAAGGAACTCGGATAAATAGGATAGCTTAGTAGTAGGTTTGATCGGCATGGTAATGGATATGATTTGTTCTTTGGGTGCTTATGAGGTAATGAGTTTCTACAGGTGTTTCGTGGCAATGCTCTTGGGCTTTGGTGACCTCCGTAGCTTGGTTAGTTAGAAGGATTCAGTCCTGACAGTTGGGTTTTGTGCAAATGGGATTCAGAGAGCTCTTGATGGTTTCTACCACAGCTAGAGATGTATATTTCCTACTGGCGGGAGGAGCATGTGATGTATAGTGATTTCCTCCTAGATGGGATCAGATGGAAAGATTTTGGCTAATTGAGTACGTAGTTGCTTTGACTCAGAGAGGATTATGATGTTCTCGTATTTATCATAGGATGGCATGGTATATGCGGTGTGTTGTGTGGGATCGAGATTGGCATGTGCAAGGTCACGATTTAGTTTTGAAAGGAAGGTCATAAATTCTCAGGCAGCATGGACGGTTTCAGATGACTAGGTAAATGACCTTACTATTTGGTATGGCTTGATGAGAGTATACATTTCAGAAGGGGCAATGTGTTCGATTTATGGACACATTATTGGTATTGCGGCATTCTCTTATTTGATCGACTGCTGGTGTTCGAATTTTGCTTTTGTGACACAGGAGAATTATAGGAGTATGCCTCATGGGATGATCGTGTATTGGAAACGTGTCAGAGATTCAGGCAGTGGAGTTGAGATCAGATATGATGATTCGTGTGTTCTATGGATTTAGAAACTGAGAGTTCTCATGAGTAGATTATTTCGTGGTTGTGGACTGTGAAAATGTAGCCAAGGTTAGTCAGAGGCTAGTATGTGTGTGATTCAGTCATTGTGGACTTTCGAAGGTTATTTATCTATTTGTGGGTGACCAGAATTGATTTGAGGGTCCATTGGTAGGCCCAATTAGGATGTGTATTCTACACCGGGTCGGATTGGTGGGCTCTATGTTGCTATTGTTGAGGGATATGCCATTCTATGGTTGTTGAACTTATTCATGACCTGAGATGATCTGTTAGTTACTCTTCTATGCTACAGAGAGTTGTGATTCGTTGGTTATATGCACACATGGTGCTGTCCTATTTGAGCTTTATAGCGGAATTTGAGTGAGATAAGTATTCGAGTATTGCGTGATTGATTGCGTGTTGGCTATGCTCTTTTCGGATGGTGGCATTGTGCTATTTGCTCTCTGTGGTTAGGGTGATGCACTTTCGGTACTTGAGGTCGAATTTTGAGTGGTTGTGGATTTTGAGCAGGGTGGCTCGAGATATATAATATGGACCATCTTTTGGATTGGGTCACGCATTTTAGCGGAGTTATGTAGAGGTATGATGTTTTGGGTAAGATTCGCATGTTTTGGTTCTGCGGTGTGTGATGAGTTCTTAGCATTGCGTTGTGGTGATATCCGTTAAGCTTGCGGGACGGTTCTCTTGTCTAATGTCATTTTCCATGTTTGAGTACATTTGGAATGTTTCATATTAGTGCACGGATTGAATAGGTTGTGGCTTTAGATTGCATTGATGTATCATGTCTTGTTAGATGAGATGAGGTCATCTACCTAGAATGGGTGCTATTGGATCTGATTGCGGTATATTTAGAAGGATATTGATGCTGATCGTCTTAGAAATTTGCTATATTTCCTATCAAAGGAGAGGGAGTTCCACAACTTGTTGATCTGGCGAATGGCTATGAGTTTCTACGTGTTTCTTTCATCATTGGTAGTATATGAAGGTGTTAGAACGAGGCTTTGTTCGATAAGAGGTTTAATATCGGAATTGGGTTATTTTGAGTAGCTACTGTAATTAGAAATTATCGCTATGAGTATTTGAGTTTTGAGGTATATTATATGATTACATCTTGGGTTAGGGATATGGGTTGATACAGCTTGTTCAGTCTTATACAGCGTGTAGTTGCAAGACTCTGATCTTATAGAAAGTTTCGGATGTTGGAAATTGGGTTCTAAGACTTATGGGCTAGGTTGGATTAAGAAATATCCGTCATGTTGTGGTATCAGACCTATATGGGATAGGATGATGTGGGATCACCCCCCCGGTATGTGCATGGTAAGGATACACAGTGATTTGGCTTTTGGAAAAACTCTGGGCATGTTCGAGGACGAACGTACGTTTAAGTGGGGGAGGATGTAACAAACCGACTGGTCGTTTTGAGCATTTACACTTTGCTCGGTTGTTTAAGGGCATGAGTAGCTCCGTATGATGTATTATAACTTATGTGAATCGTCGGTTTTGGTTTTCAGGTTATTCGGAAATTTAAGTTTGAGTTTGACCGGGGAGTTGACTTTTTGATTTCGGGATCGAAACCCGATTCCGGAAATTGGAATAGCTCCATTATGTCATTTATGACTTGTGTGCAAAATTTGGGATAAATCGGACGTGATTTGATAGGTTTCGACATCGATTATAGAAGTTTGAGGTTTCAAGTTCATTAAGCTTGATTTGGTGTGTGATGTATGTTTTCGTTGTGTTTGATGTGATTTGAGGGCTCGACTAAGTTTATATGGAGTTTTAGGACTTGATGGTACCTTTGGTTGAGATCCTGCAGGCCTTGGGTGAGTTTTGAGCGAGTCCGGACATTTCCGGCACTCTAATATTGTTCTGGTGCTTTGAAAGTGTGGACCACAACAGAGATATGCGGACCACAGAGGAGGGGTGCGGACCGCACAATTTTGCTGCGGCCGC